GTCCAATCTATGCTCGATGGATGCTTCTGCAAGAAACCTTCTTTTAGCCAAGTCCTTAAGACCTCTGCTATTCCAAAAGATTCCTATCATATCTCATCATGGAATTTTTTAGCCGTGCGAATCCTAGCACTCCTATGTACCGCGGACGTCGGATATATCTTGCGCTTCCATTTGCGCTTAGGGCCGGTCCTCGTGCCCACCCGGTCCTCTCTCCCTGTTTCTGGGGGTCTAACTACATCCATCTCGACATTCTCATCCTCCTCCTCCGGCTCCTGGAGGGGAGGCTCGAGATCAGCACAAAAATCATCGAGCACCCGGACTCCCAAAGCATCAATCTCAGAATCATTCATGGGTTTGACGGCGGCTAAGTTACGAATCAATTCTAGAGCCCTCTCGGCTTCTAGATCAAGCAAATCATTGATGGAATTAGAAACTTCACCCTCATTATTACCTAGTGAAATTCCTATTTGGTTTGCATTGTCAACAATCTCATCATTCGAAAAATGCAAGATAGTATTCGAAGTATTCATCGACATACCAGTAGTGACCTGGACGTCATGAAGCTTGGCCACCCTCATGGCGCAGCGCTGCTGCATGTCGTCCACCTCCGGACGGCCCTGAAGACGACAGCTCAACTGTCGGCCCTCAGACGCCTGGTCCGGAATCCCGCCGAACTGAATAACCTCCTCCCGCGTGAAGTTGCCCGGGGAGTGACCGCCTGTCACCCTCCGAACACTCAACCGGTCCCCACGACCTGGAGAGGGCGCCGAGTCAGATGATGGGGAACCAAGGGCCACCTGCACCCGCTCCCCATCCACCCCAAACCGCAGGCCAGGAGTGCTCACCGGCACCAAGGGTGGGGCGATCCCCCTAGGCGCAGAAGATGAAGAGGGCCTCGAGGCCACCTGCCCCAAGCCCCCTCCAAAGACCGGACCTGCCACCTGCAGTATCGGCCCCGCAAAAGGTGAAGAGGAAACCGAGGCAACCTGCCCCGGCCCCCCTCCCGAAGGTAACTCCTCCCTCCCGATAGCCCCGACCGGAGCAAGAGGAGAAGGGGGCGCCGAGGCCACCTGCCTCGATCCCCCTGCCAAGCTCGGAACCACCACCTGCAGCTCAGCCGTCTCAACAATATCCGAGGGAGGCGAGAACACTATCTCCGGACCCCCCCCTCCGCGCCAGAACCCTCCACGCCCGGGCCCTCAAAGTCCAACGCAGGTAAAGAATGCTCAAAAACCTCAAGAGATTCCACCCGCTCGCTCCATAGTCTCGGAGGTGCAGTAGAAGGCTCAATGGATCCAAATCTCAGAGTGGTCGACGACACAGAAGAGGGAGGCGCCGTCCCACCTCCGGTCGTCTGAGCAACAGACCCCGGTCCCTCGACCATCTCTCGTCCAGGATCAGCGGCCGGAGTCTCCTTACCTCCCGTGCCATCATCACCCTCGTGCATATCAACGTCAATGGCAGCAGGTGCCTCAGCAAACAGGCTGTCATCCTCAAACTCAATCTCAAGGCTGTAAACCTGACCTTGATAAGCCCACTTAACCACATCAGGCACAAACTCAATGTCCAAAATACTGACCAGTAAGCGAGCAACCCCATGAGCTCTAGTGAAGGCCATATCCACTCGCTCGGTCTTTCCCACCATGATGCCCAGACTAGCAACGACCCTGGCATCCTGCAAAGGCTTGGAAGGAGCTCCCGAAAAACACAACCAGACCTGTGTAAGAGGTTTACCCTGAGGCTCAATCAACTTCCACTCGTGGAACTCAAGGATGCCCTCCGTACCTGGCACCTTACACATCCCAAAGCTCAACAACCTCTGTAAATCCTTCACTGTCGGGAACTCAACCCTGAACAAGTTTGCCTCTAGACTGACAAGCTCCCAGTGGAAGTCTCCTGGAGCCAGCTCCCGGAGCCGCTGCACAATCTGGGTCTCAGAGACTTCACCTTTAGTCACTTTAACAACCCCAGTTGTCATACTGTGTACCTCATCAGGAACCTCCCTCTCGGTCGAAGACTCAAAAAACGTGAGCTCGGAACAGTACACTCCGTACATCATAAGATTTGGTACCTGCTCTCTCAAAAGCGGACATGCCCCTGACTCATGGGCTGGCTTGCCACACGTATCGCATAAAACTGCCACACACTCAGCAATGAAATGGCCCTTATCACCACAGCGATAACATAACATTCTTTCGTTCTTGCGCGCATACTTGGCCGCCCTGTCCAGCTCAGCCCTGTCAGAGGCCTCCACCGACATTAACTCGACCTCACCATTACCAGGAACCACCACGTCCGCTAGTGCCGTCACCACCTCCATAGCCTGGCTCGACAACCCAGTCTCCTCAGTAGCCTCGCCAACCGCCGTTTGGTCAACGACAACAGGATGCTGCCTTGGACGATAGCGGCCACCTCGGCCACCTCGGCCACCACGGTTACCACGGAAACCACCGCGGTTACGATTAGCCGGTCCAGACGCCCCTTCGACGAAGCCGCCCGTTGGCCCCAGGAAAGGCCTCTCGGTCGAGCCATCGCTCTGCCAGGCATACCCCCGGCCACCACCTGTGGACGGGGATCCCCGGTGCTTTCCATCTCCATAGGCGTTAAGCCCATCATCACCCCACTGACCAAGAGGCACCGATGAGTCTCACCCTCCTATCCGAAACCTGCAGCAACTGTGCCTGCTTCAACATCGGCGCATAGAATTCTGCGTCTGTCGGGCCACGAAATGCGGCGGTCTGGCCCCGGGCTGCATCGCCATGGGACGAAGCAGGCCACCTGAGGCCGGAGGAGGCGGCCTCGGAGCCGGGGTGCCGCGGCCCGCGACGGCCACATGGTTCGGCACCGGTGGCCGAGGGCCTTGTGCCCGCAGGCAGCGACCCGCGGCCAACCGCGCCGGGCCCGAGTGCACCACCAGGCAGCGGCGGTCTAGGACCGCCGGCCTCCTGCGCCGCCCGGCCGGACACAGAACTCGGGACCGGGGTAGCGCCACCACGGCCAGCCCTAAGCGGCAGTCCAGCACCGCTGCGACCCGCCCCCTGCGGCAAAGCATCCCCGCCGCGGCCAGCTCCTGCCGGCGGCACCTGCCCTCCACGTCCCGCACCGCCCGGGCGCCGGACTTGGCAGGGAGCAGACCTCGACCGGCCATGCCGCGGAGAGGAGGAATTCGCCTAGCACGCCCGCACCACGGTCAGAGAAGTTCGGTCGGCACGCAGCTCGAAGAACCCTAGATCGTTTCGATCGAAAACCCACTGAAGGACCCTCGATCGTGCATGGGGGTATAGACGTAGTCGAACTGGACGTACATGCCTGGTTGTACTGGGCCTCATACCCAGTTAACACAGGCCAACCTCGATCGGGCCCGGCTCACTCAGAACCGGCCCAACCCCAGGCACACCGTGACCGCGGCCCAGGAGTGCGTTCAAACGCATCTCCCGCATCTGCGCGATCCCGATCGGCCGCCCCGCCGGCAACGGCGCCACGGCCGCCGCCGGCCGCCGGGATTCACCAGCAGATCGGATTGCTTTCTTCTTCCTCTGAACTTTAGTCCAAGAATCCGGCCGGATCAAATCGAAAAGGGTGAGGTTTGGAAGAATAGTAATCACCATATATGTTTCACACTTTATATTCTACTGGAAAACAAGGGAAGGCGTGATGCACGACCCTATCTCTCTTGAACCTGTAATAGTAATCATCTTGAGCCCTTCATTTCATGGTTCATCCATCCCATCGGATTTCCACAACTTAGAAAAGTAGGACAAGCCTAACAGTATGTTTTCCTTGTTAGCGGCAACAACATTTGTACAGTAATGATCCCCTCCCTGAAAAGAGTCTTGTGCTGATTGTGAGCACTGAACGGAGAGGGCTCGTGATGCACAAAGGTGCACGTCCTCAGTCAACACCTCAGTCAACACCGTTTGCAGCGTTACCCGTACGTGCCTTTTTTTTTGACGGATTACCCGTACGCGCCTTTATTTCTTACTGCCACCAGATCGAGGTCCAGTGATTCTCTTGTCGGTTAGACAGGTTCTCGTGATGCACGTGTCTCGAATAGCAAACGTTGTCCTAATTATGCCATGTTAAAACGCGCAAACGGGCTGAATTATGAATGTCAAATTTACCAAGCGATAGTGAGTTTTACAATTATTAAGGTTATTATTGAGAAATAGTACTCAATGATCATCTGAAATTTTCAAAAAAAAATAGAATCGAAAATTTATAAGACACTAGGGCTCTGAAGTTTGAAAATAGGCGCGATGCACGGCCCTATCTCTCTTGAACATGTAGTAATCAACTTCAGCCCTTAATTTCATGGTCCATCCCATAGGATTCCACAAGTTCCCATTCAGAGGGAAATTTCATTTTCATATTAAAACTGAATCATATATACTCTCTTCGTCCGAAAATACTTGCGAGAAATGGATACATCCATTTTGATCCATTTCTCCGATAAGTATTTTCGGATCCATTTCTTCCACAAGTATTTCCGGACGAAGGGAGTACCGAATTACTAACAAGAAGCACCTAAGGATCGTTGCATATATACTAATGATGGCCTTGCAGGAAAAATCTTATCCTGAATGTGAGCACAGAGCACATGAGCTCGTGATGCACGAGGTGTACGTCCTTAGTCAAGAAAGCATCCAGCGTTACCCGTACGTGCCTTTATTTCTTACTGCCACCAGAGCTGTGATCGAGTGATTCTGTTGCCGGTGAGAAAGGTGCTCGTGATGCACAAGGCTGAGTCAGCACCACCAGTTCTGTACTCGTATGCATCCTAGCGTCATTCGTGGTGCACATGGCTGATCCTGACATGCACAAAACATCGTGGGATGTCTCGCTCCATCTAATCCCAGACATGCTCCCATTGGCATTGGCCCTAGCTAGCGATCTATAAATACGACTCCCAACCTCCTAGTTCTCACACACAACAATCTACTAGTATCTCATAAGCCTACAACATCCCTTGAACCAGAGCCCCACCCAACTCACTAGTCACCATGGCCAATTTCCAGATAACTCCCCGCGCAGCGTTCGTGGAGAGCAATGAGCTCAACTTCCGCAGCCTGTACCTTTTCCACACTCCCCTTGGTTCAAACCAGAATCAGTCAGGCATAATAGACTCGAATGTTACTACCGGTTTGGGTGCGACAGTCGTTAACAACTGGCCGATATGTGATGGCCCTAGCCCCGGCGCCACCGTTATTGCGCGTGCACAAGGCCTGCATATCTATGCCGGTAACTGGCAGAATACTTTCAGCATAACATTCGAGGTTGAAAGGTACGTACGCATATGCATTCATACATGGTTATATATATCTTTGTGAAGAAATATATCTTCATGTTGATTACTTAAACCACAAATGATCATGTCATTAGGTAATACTGTATATTGCAGTGCATGATATAGTTAACAACCACATCTGAACGTGATATAGGTTTAAGGGATCAACGCTTCAAGTGATGGGGATATCCGTCGAAGAAGGTGAGTGGGCTATTGTTGGTGGGACAGGACAGTTCGCTATGGCGATCGGTGTCATCTACAAAAAGTTCCATGAACAAAGGAGCGATGGTAACATCATAGAACTCACTGTCCATGGATTTTGTCCCATGCTGAAAGGTTCACAGGTGAGATGAATAACCAACATATACAACTACTTTTTGTCTTCACCTAAATCTTCATTATTTTGTGTCTGCGTCCCTTTTATTCAAGAAAATACCACATAATTGTCTTATCATATTGTAGAGCCTTCGCACAAAGGTTGGACCATGGGGTGGAAATGGAGGCTCAGATAAAGACATCGTCGAGGCACCAAGACGTCTAGAGAGCATCACAGTTAGCAGCGGCACTATCATTGATTCAATCAAATTTTCTTATGTCGACCAAGCTGGTCAGAAGCGCACTGTTGGACCCTGGGGAGGTTCTGGAGGAAAACAAAATACGGTCAGTGGACTCTTTTAATAAAATTTTATGTGATTTTCTCAGTTTCATATGTAATCAACAAGCACTTCTTTATTCTTTTGCGATGCAGTTCGTACTCGGCACTTCTGAGTTTGTGAAGGAAGTTTCTGGAACATTCGGCCTTTATGGCAGAGACAACCACAACATAATAACATCACTGAAATTTGTCACCAACGTGAAGACATACGGGCCTTTCGGACAAGCGAAGGGAACCACTTTCACCATACCAGTGCAAAAGAATAGCAGCATCGTGGGCTTCTTCGGACGCAGTGGGATATATCTCGATGCACTTGGTGTCTACGTGCACCCTCTCTAAGCTACTAGCTAGCGGCTAATGCTCTCATTTTCGGTGTGTATTTCTCAATCAATTTGAATAAGCGGAAGAGATCTAGTAGACTTTTCTCTTGTCTAGAAGATCCTATCAAGCCGCCCAACTGGCTTTTTTATTTACCTTTGTTGTGATGAATAAAAGTATCGGTTTTTATATGTGGGATGTGATTTGCTTATATATGTGTCTTGCCTGGGATGCATGTGATGTGATGACAACTATAAGAGTTGAGTCGAATCATATCTTCTCTGCATAATTTTCTTTACAACCATCTAATAATTAACCTGATAGAAAATCTCAAGGAGGTTGTTTCATCATCAGTGCTCCTACTCCTCGTCCTCCTCCTACTCTGCATGCAGGTTCAGAAAATGGAACAAGAGGGAGGGCCCAAGGTCTTCAGTAAGCTTATTGTGTGCTCACCATTTCTCACCAGAGATTGTGGTAAATAAAAGGTCAAGTATAAGGTTGTAGTGGTAACAAAGACATCCTTCATCATAGAATTGCTTACAAGAACGGACGCAGTAGCTCTTTCTTCTGTGGAATGGATCCTACAATAATTTTGGACACGTGCTTGTTACCTCAAGGATCGAATCTGGAGGTGGTTAACCTAGATCAAACAAGGAAGGACAGTAATTTGTGCTGCTCTAACGTGTAGCTTCTTAAAGCTTTTTATTTTACTTTATATAGGGGTCAAAGACCCGACACCATGCCCAACACGGCCAAGGATAATTGCCCAACATGCCGCGACCCTGATCACAAATAAATCAGGTTTAAACTCTTTTTCATCTCTAAGAGATTTACACTAAGACGACTTGGAATGAACCTCCTACATTCGCTATCTTATACAACTCGAGACTCTACTATTTTATGTGATTACAAGGACTCACATTCACCGCCCCAAAACACATAATCATTGGTACTCAAGTGCCTTCACTCCAAACCTCTTGTGCATCTCCTAGAAATTCCC